CAGTTTTCAGTTAAGTGTAATGCTCCTAGCCTGAGTAATTTAAAAATATAGACACAATCAAGACTATTTTTATTGACATTGTTCACATAATTGTAGCTATCTTGTGATAACTTTTATGATACAGTTATCCACAAAGGACTGCTGATTCCTAATAACAACTAGCTCATGATTGAGAGCCAAAGTAGGCAGTTTTAAGCTTCCTGGAGCTTAGCTGTGGCTCAATAGATATCATAGGACTACAGTTTCATCAGATCTAGTCTGTATAGCCATGGTGGGGCATGATAGAAATTGGACTCCAATATCTGGAACAGATTTTGGAATGTATGGCAAAAACAATTAAGTTGCTTCATGAATTATTCATGAAATCAAAAAATTAATTTGTTCTTGATACTTGTAATGAAAATGCTTAATTTATATCAATAATTCTTACATCAATTCTGTCTTTTCAAATGAATCATAGACAATGTATAAACTAGAGCAAAAGCTTCCAAAACTTAAAACTTGATCTCATTTGTAGCAACACCTTCCCAGAAAAATCATTAGATATCTACAAAACCCTGATATCCAATCAGTGATTGGAGATAAGTCCAGAAGAATAACAAGTCATGACTCACTATTCATTATGCCACTGTAATTAGTAGGGCCGTTGTTAAATCAAAAAGAAAAATTTGAAATTCTTTCTCTGCATTATTAAAAACAAACAAAGAAGGAAATAATCTGTTATGTTAATATTATCTTGAATTATTTCTAAGCTGATTGCCCACCTCTGATATAGAAGATGATGACTATCATGCACCCCAGTTATCTTTATTTACTGTAACAATCTATGTTCTGGTTCCTGATGAAATACTCCTCTATTATTTCTGTTTAATATTACCACTGCTTAACGATGTGCACATTAAATTAAGAAAAGGGGAAATAGTCTGAGGGCTCCATGCAACCACTTGACTCACAAAACATTTGTGAACCACCCCAAGGAGGTATTGGAAGCATCCAACAAAAAGTAACTAAGAAATTGATTCCCCCTGTCCTTATTTCTCCAATCCCTAAAAAGGCCAAGGGAGCAACAAAAAAAAAAAAAAACGATGAAATTACCCTCAAAAATTTTCTAGAGCATGTTGTCAAGCATTTGGGACATATAAGTATTAAATATATCCAACTTCTGTGTTATACTCGTATAAAATTCCAATGAATTTTGTGTTAATTTGTACAATGTCATTAATAAGTAACAGGGGAAAGAGTAGTATTTCAGTGACAATATGACTATATATTCTGAAAACATTATGTACCTAGAAATATATTCATAGGATACTGGGTCTAGGTTTTGAACAGTCCTCTGTTTTTTAAACATTTAACAGAATAATGGGTTATATGTCTATCTTCATAGCACTTGTTCACTTTATTGAATATCCCTTCTCCTAAGATGGGAGAATTCAAAATGACTGTTCATTTACTAATACGTCTATGGACCGTAATGAATATTGTTGTTGTTAATATCTCTGTTTTGTGTTTTTCTCAAAAATTGTGATATGTCTTGAGGGATGGGAATGGCAACTCCAAATCTCAATTGTCTCACAGACCTTACTGATTTGTGGCTCTTATAAGTTGTGTAATGATTACAGTAAGTTAATGTAGTTATGTAGTATTCCTGGAAAAAAAGATGGGGGAAATTAGCACTTGGAAGATCTCTCACAAAATGTAGCTCTAATTAGAAATGGGAAATGCCAGTGGGATTTGTTCATTGTCTTCCTGCAGACTTTCAGTACTAAGTTTCCAGAATGATTAGTTTAAACATGTAGCTGAAATGACATTTAAATAGCTGCAATCCAAAGACTAAAGATATTTGAAATTAGAAACATCTCCAGTATCTGAAAATTTGTAATGAGACTTTGTTTTAAGACAATTCTATCTAATGTTACAAGATACCAGGCAGCAAATTGAAGCTGTTGTAGAGTTGTAGAAGCTGTTTAAGCATGTGGACAACTTTGAACTGGGAATGTTTTCGTTCAAATGGCATTTCATGATGAATTAATTAAGTGGTCTCAGGTATCTAAGCTTTAGATCTGTCATATGATGGAAATTCATGGCCTTTGTGGGTGGTCATGGTATAGGTTGTTTTTTTTAGTGTTGCACTAGGAGTCTGGAAGCCCAGGGTTCACATCCCTGCTCAGTCATTGAAACCTGAGTTAATTTTGAGTAAGCCAAGTGTTAGGGCTTCCAACTCCCAGAAGCCTTAGCCATCTTGTCCAATGGTCAGGAATTATTGGACCTGAATTCCAAAACATCTGGAGGACCACAGGTTGTGCAGGCCTGCTCTAGATTGTAGAGCAATTTTTGGAGGGGGGCATATGGAAGAATGGCCCTTCCTTCATGATGGCATGATCTTGTGTATGCCACTTTTCTTCACAGAATGTCATTTTCTGATTCTAAGCCACAGTTAATTTCAGTTATATTCATTTGAAGAAAGGGATTTTCATAATTCCTCATTTTACATTGTTCCAGTGGAAGTTGGACTTAAGGTCACACTGGAGCACCTAGAACAGTGATGGGCAACCTTTTGAGCTCGGTGTATCAAAATTTGCCAAAAACCTGACCATAACTTGGGTGGGGTGTCAACTTCAAGAAAAAATAAACGTAATTTTGCAATATTTATAGTTTAAATAAGAAAAATGTGTATTCCATGCTGAGTTATGGAGTGAACAATGCTCAAACATGCAGATGTTAAATTTGTAGAGCCTTTTACAAATTTAAGGATGGAATTAGATTGGCTCTTATAAGGTGTACTTCTCTGTATGCGGCGGCATGTGGCCACGTGTCATCAAAAATAGCCATGTGTGTCAGTGCTGACACGCATGTCAAAGGTTCACCATCATGGACCTAGAAAATGCCTAGAGAGAACATTCATTTAAGTTAAGTTGTGCATACCAGTTTTTTGGATATGGGTGTTATACTTTATAGTATGTCACAACATTAAAATGCAGCTATCTTTAAATTGTATTTTAGCACAAGAACACTCATTCCAAAATGTAGCTTATCCCATGTTTTGCAAAGTTTCACTATGAGTTGCATGAAGAGTATGCCAAATGAGTGTAAACATAATTTATTATTATGACAAAGTATGATCTGACTTGTGGTGGGTGCTCAAAAATGGAAAGAAACGAAGTCTCTGTAACAATTCTCAAAGTCTGGGTTGACTGCTTCACACAGTGTCATAACAACATAGAAAAGTAACAAATTGATATATAATAGCATTGAGTAACTAAAACACTGTGTCAATGTTTAACTTGGGTAACAAAACAGAACATTTACAAAGTGATATTAAAAAGAAGAAACAGTCTTACTGCTGTGTTTGTAGTAGCTTGGAAAACAATTTTCTAGAGTAGTAATATAATGAACCTGTAAAATCAATTTAATTATTATGAAAAGGAGGCATATTAGCATAAAGTTAATTCTCTTCATTTATTCTTATAAAATATTAGATATTGTTAAGGAATTTCTTTCTTTTTTTTAACAGCATGTTTTGGCAAAGAGTCAAGTAATTAAAATGGAAAGAGAGATAGGAGTCTGGACCCAAATATGAAATAATTGACAGGAAGACTTAGAGGGAAAACGGGATTGTATTGAATTCAAAATAATTACTATAAATCATGCATACTGTGTAATTTATATATTAATTATATATTTGCATATATATTTTTATAAAATAAGGAAGGAAGTCTTGCCATTGTCATTTCTTCACTGTTTGTGGCTGGATATACATTATTGGCTGTTATAGGTTTGGGAGCCCATTAGAAGTCATAGAATTATAGGAGTTGGAAGAGACCTCATGGGCCATCCAGTCCAACCCGCTGCCAAGAAGCAGGAAAAGCACAACCAAAGCACCCCTGACAGATGGCCATCTAGCCTCTGTTTAAAAGCCTCCAAAAAAGGAGCCTTCATCACACTCCAGGGTAGAGAGTTCCACTGCTGAACAGCTCTCACAGTTAGCAAGTTCTTCCTCATATTCAGGTGGAATCTCCTTTCCTGTATTTGAAGCCATTGTTACGCGTCCTAGTCTCCAGGGCAGCAAAAAACAAGCTTGCTCTCTCCTCCCTGTAACTTCCCCTCACGCATTTATACATGGCCAGTATGTCGCCTTTCAGTCTTCTCTTCTTCAGGCTAAACATGTCCAGCTCTTTCAGCAGCTCCTTATAGGGCTTGTTCTTCAGACCCTTGATCATTTTAGTTGCCCTCCTCTGGACACATTGCAGCTTGTCAACATCTCCCTTCAATTGTGGTGCCCAGAATTGGACACAGTATTCCAGGTGTGGCCTGACCAAGGCAGAATAGAGGGGTGGCATGTTAAGAATTTATGACTGAAGTCTGTGGGATTCTGGGATTTGCAGTTTAGGGAGAAACATTTAGATTTCCAAGACAGGGAGCTCTAGTTCCTCACCAAACTGCAAACTCCAGAATTCCATACAGTGGAACTATGGCAATCAGTTTGGAATCGTCGTGCTATAACTTGGTTTTTACAAGGTCATATCCATTTTTATTTGTATTTCTCTTTACATAAGCACTTTTATAAGTCTTTGTCCTTAATGCATTTCCATAAACCGTATTTATGTGATGAGACATGCACAAACATTGATACATTTTTGTGCATGCCTCCATATATCTGCACTTTTCTTGGAAAATTGCCTCATAAATTTGACAATAGCATGAATACCAAATATTGCATTTTGTTTTTTTTTTTGTGGTGATTTGGTAAGTGGAAATTAGCTGGGGTCACATTAAGGTATGATCTGAACTAATCTTCTCCCTTCTATTTCATGCCCTTTGCCAGATATTATCTTTCCTTGAAACAGTATAATAATATCCTTGCAAAAATCTCTGAAATCAGTGGCTAAGATGGTTTCCCCATTTCTTCTGGAAACACTTCAGATTTGTCATGTAAGCTTTATTTAAACTTAGTTGATATCAACATTAATAATGTATTATTCTTTTTTCCTTTTCTGCAGTATGCTGCCTGGTTAGTCCTGTGGGTTACATGGAACGTATTTATTATCTGCTTCTACTTGGAGGCTGGGGACTTATCAAAGGTAATTTGCCATCTGATATATATCTAAGCCAACTGATGTCAACACGCCCAGTTCTGAGCATGTCTTCTTGTATCTACTTAACGCCATGGCTGTGCTTCAATGAAGAAATCAGCTTGGGAATGATGAATATGCTGTGTGCCTTAGCAATGCTTATCCTCAGTTATTTAAGAAAAAGTGTAGGTGTAAAACAGATGTTTAACAGTAGGAGGATTTTTAATGGCATTTGTGTTATTCAGATGAGAAACTACAATAGACTTTCAAGTTTATATAATGGGGAAGTCATCGTTCTGAATGTCACAGCTGACAGTTATCTAAAGGATTCAAACAATGCTATTTAATGATATGTATCTTGCTGTTTTTCTGGGTTTTTTCCAAAATATATATAGTTTTGCTAATTAAAGAAAGAATAAATTGAGGCAAGAAACTATCTAACAAGCTAAGATACTGAAGTGTTTTTGAATATTGATTTTTCTGAGTCTTCCAAAATAATTACCACCATGTGATTGAAACTATCTTTATAGAAGCAAATATTTTTCTGATGTTTTAGGATGTATGTTATTTGTGTGGATTTACTTCACATGCAAGGGCCACATCTTTGAGTTAGCAAAGTTAGGGGAAGGCAAGTCTGTCATCACTGCTCAGCTCTCTTGTGGTTCAGTCAGGAAGGAGAGATGTACAGGTTTACATAAAATGAATATCTGTTTTGAAGCATACATTAAAATAAATTTTATTTCTTTTAATTGTTATGATAACACATCAATTAAATATATTATTTTTCTTATTTATATTCTTCAACATTTCAGTTGAGTATGTTGTCGAAGGCTTTCATGGCCAATATCACTGAGTTGCTGTGAGTTTTCCAGGCTGTATGGCCATGTTCCAGAAGCATTCTCTCCTGATGTTTCACCCACATCTATGGCAGGCATCCTCAGAGGTTGTATGGTTTGTTGGAAACTAGGCCAGTGATGTTTATATTTCTGTAAATAAAGAGCAACACTAACCCCCCCCCCCAAAAAAAAAATAACAAGGGAATTCCAGACAAGAACAAATCAGGGCCAGCTAATACCTCCCAACAAAGGATCCCCCAGGCAGCAATCAGCCAGGCTTTGAAGATACTAGGCCATTAAAAGCTAATCAATGTGGTCAATTGCAACATTCACACTTGCCCATTTCTGTTGAGGTTCTGGTTTAATTTTAGGTTTAGTTTTAGTTTTTGACAAAATGGAATTATCAAATGTCTTCACATATAGATTTATCAACAGCTCTACGAGGGACATGACATTGTATTTGTAAGATAGTTGATTTAAACATTCTTAAATAAACATATTGCTTGGACAAGATAAACTGAAACTACAGGGCTTGAGCACTATTCATTATAAAACCAGAACAATTTCTACACAATTTATTTTGTCCTCAATATGTGATAACTGTAGTGAAAACATACCAAAATATAAGATCTGTTATGCTATAAGAATAAAGCTTTTCACCCTGCTTTATGACTACTAAAGCTATTGAGCAAAATCTTTTGGACCCCTTTGGCAGAGCAATGGGGAATGGTGCTTACAGTTCTACGCTTTCTGAGCTTGCATAAGGAGGTATTATTTTCCTGTTGCTTGATTGATTTGTCTCAACTTGGGAAGAATGCCATTGTAAGAGGCAAAGACAGAAGGATGGCACCCACCAAACAACCTCCAATGAGATTAAACATTTTCAGGGAGATAGAAAGAAACCAAGAAAGGACTGGAATGAGTCTGATCTTGCATGGACTTATCCTTTTTCTGATAGCTGATCTCAGTATGATTTTAAAACCGCTGACCCTCCATGATGCCTAGGCAAATAGCTCAGAAAGCTTTATCACTGCTCTGGCTTTGTGGCGGAATGTATGTTTGGAAGAATAGGCTTCCAAATTGTGTAAAGTTTTAGACTGACTGAACCTTTGTGATGTAGAGTTCTTCCATCTTTTTCTTGGGTAGATGATGATGATCATGATATTGATTTTAGGTCCCATTTTTACTTATCCCTGAGACTCATAGTAGCTCACAATAGTAAAGACAGATACTTTTAAAAGTGTCTGTAGATGATGGAGCTAGAGCAGGGGTCCTCAAACTTTTTAAACAGAGGGCCAGATCACAGTCCCTCAAACTGTTGGAGGGCCGGATTATAATTTGAAAAAAACAAAACAAAACATGAATTCCTATGCACACTGCACATATCTTATGTGTAGTGCAAAAAACCACTTTAAAACAATAAAATAATTAAATATAAACTTAGCATTTCAGTGAGAAGTGTGGACCTGCTTTTGGCTGATGAGATAGGATTGTTGTTGTTGTGTGCTTTCAAATCGTTTCAGACTTAGGTTGAACCTGAGCAAGGGCCAGGTAAATGACCTTGGAGGGCCGTATCCGGCCCCGAGCCTTAGTTTGAGGACCTCTGAGCTAGAGGGATACTCTGTGCTTTTTATCATGGAGAGACCAGGTCACAGTGACAACGATTGGAAACTGACTGATTCACCCATTTCTGCTTGGAAAACACTGACTTGCACAGCTTGAGAGTCATACTTAGATGTTACACTGTGTTGTTTACTCATCTTGCAATTAGTAGCTTATTAAGAGCCTTTAATCCAGCTCCCTTGATTTTAATGTATTGCATAGATGCTGTCATTCCCTATGCAAGTGAATCCCTAGAAGAAACATAAATAATTCAAAACAATTAATTTAAAGCAAGCATGTCAAAACACAACAGAATAAAAAGGTTTACTCAAAATAAAGTTCTTTGACTAATCTTTATTCTGAGGCCATAAAAATACAACAAAGCTTCATTCTCAGAAAGTACAGGTTGAATATCCCTTGTCCGAAATTCTTGGGATCAAAAGTATTTTAGATTTTTTTAAAAAATTGAAATAGCTCTATTTTAATATACATAGTAAAGGTCAAGGTTTTCCCCTGACATTAAGTCTAGTCATATCCAACTCTGCAGGGTAGTGCATTTCTAAGCTGAAGAGCTGGCGTAGTCCATAGACACCTCCAAAGTCATGTGGCCAGCATGACTGCATGGAGCACTGTTACCTTCCCGCTAGAATGGTACCTATTGATCTCCTCACATTTGCATCTTTTCAAACTGCTAGGCTGACAGAAGCTGGGGCTAACAGCGGGAGCTCACTTGCTCCCTGGATTCAAACCACTGGCCTTTTGTTCAGCAAGTTCAGCAGCTCAGCAGTTTAACCCAATGCACCACCAGGGTGCCCCTTGCATATACATACAGTATGAGATATCTGGGAGATTGGATCCAGGTCTAAACACAAAATTCATTTATGGTTCCTATTCACCTTATATGCATAGCCTGGAGATAATTGTATACATAATATTTCAATCATTGTGTGCATAAAACAAAGGTTTTGTACACTGGACCATTAGAAAGCAAAAGTGTCACTGTCTCAGCCACCCATGTGGACAGTTTTTAATTTCAGAATTTCAGATAAATCTATACTATCAATCTATACTATTTTATTCCTTCTCATCTTCCTGTCATTAAGAGTTTTGAGGATTCTGTATTTGTGGAAGCTATTAATGTAAACTGACTTGTCACAGAAACGTGATCTTTGAATATGTGTATGGACATACCTATATATAAAAATCATAATTTCTCTGGTATGTGTGATGAACTAGTAGATAGAAGGTGTTCAAAGCATGACCAGTGTTGGTATAGAAAACAGTGGCTTCCAGTCTAGAGCTTAAGTTGACCTAAGCAACTTCTGCTTCTCCACCAGTGTTTGTGCATTGATATTGGTGGTTTGAGCAGAAGTTGCATCTCATTTTGAGGGGTGATCTGCACAGTCCAAGTGCCTGACCTCTGTTTTGTCTGGATTAAGCTTCAGTTTGTTGCCTTCATCCAACAGCCGCAGTGGCGCAATGGGTTAAAACCCTTATTCTGGCTGAACTGTTGACCTAAAGACTTGATGGGGTGAGCTCCTGTCTGTCAACCCCAGCTTTTCATGTGGAGAGAAGCCTTCCACAGGATGGTAATACATCTGGGCCTCCTCTGGGCAATGTTCTTGCAGGCGGCCGATTTTCTCACACCAGAAGTGGTATATTCTCAAGTTACTTCTGACATTTGCTTCTGACATGATTAAAAAAAACACCAGACAGATAATCTGGCAGAGATCTGTCTTATTCTTTCAGCCAACACTTTATTTCTACATAACTTTCTTAAACTTCCTGAAAATATTTATATCACTCGATGCTGACCTGCTCCTGATAGGAATAATTTATCTATCTCACCCCTACAGAAAAACATAATATATAAGATGGCGATAAATAATCTCAAAGGGCAGGAATGACTTTAAGTATGCTGCAGATCAGCAACTGGCCTGTCCCAAAAATTCTTTTGTACCCACTATAAAACTATTCAGGCAAGTAAGAACAGTTAACTGTGAATTTTCTCTATGCACTGAATTATTTGCATTACCTGGATGTTAAAAATGACAGTAAGTGTGCAATAGCACTCCTTATTTCCTCTTCTCTGAAAATAAATATTGAATCTTTAAAAGAGAAGTTACACTGAATTAGTTCTCAATAGAGAATTAAAAAGTAACCTTTAAGGAACTACAGGGCTATGCTTTATCTTACACCTGGGGTGCAGTTTGGGTTGTGAACCATGAGAGATGATCTTGCACAGGATGGATATATAAATTGTCAATTAAAATTGCAGGTTAGTTATTCCTCGTCTGAGTATGCATTGTTGTCTGTAAATATAGTATATAGCTTTCTGCCACACACACACACAAATACTTTTTTCCCCAGCTATGCTCACCTATGTTAAACTTTTCTGCCATTACTCAGTAATATCAAGATGCCAACATATTTCAAGCTGCTATCATATCTTCTGTGAGAAAGTTTACTAATAGCTTCTTTCCTCCCCTTGTCACAGAGGTTATGGCATTTTTGCAGCTGCTCTTTACTGAAGTGATAACGGGATATTCAGAATGATGCGATTGCCACCTC